TGTGGGTACAGTAAATGAGTAAGAGGAAAATTACAGCTAAACACAAACTCCGCAGAAATGTAAAAACAGCCCTGATCCTTAACAGTAGGAAAATTGAAAAATGGTCTGGTCACTAAGGGGTTACAAAAAGATATGAGAGTTATTTATAGTGTCAACATGAAAAAGGCTTTTCTATAGTGTGAGATGCTGGATGATAAATACAATATGAATTACAGTTTCGGTATGTCTCACATTCACAATACAATATGTTTTACTCCCACAGAAATGCATTGATACCTCGTAAAATAGTTTCCCATATTCGGAACATTATAGAATATCTAATCCGTGTGAGCACTCTGATGGCTAACAAGACATGCGTGGTAACTAAAACATTTCCCACATTCAGAACATGAGAAAGGTTTTTCTCCTGTGTGAGTTCTCTGATGCTTCACAAGCTCTGATTTACTGACATAACATTTCCTGCATTTAGAACATGAGTATGTTTTCTCTTCTGTGTGAGTTTTGTGATGGATAACAAGGTTTGAATGCTGGCTAAAACATTTCCCACATTCAGTACATGAGAATGGCTTCTCTCCTGTGTGAGTTCTCTGATGGCGAATTAGGCTTGATTGACGACTGAAACATGTCCCGCATTTAGAGCATGAGAAAGGTCTCTCTCCTGTGTGAGTTCTCTGATGTTTCACAAGATCTGATTTGCTGACAAAACATTTCCCACATTCAGAACATGAAAAAATATCCTCACCTGTGTGAATTCGCAGATGTTTTGTAAGATCTGAGCGCTGGCTAAAACATTTTACACATTCAGAACATGAGTAAGGTTTCTCTCCAGTGTGAGTCCTGAGGTGGACAACAAATTTTGAATAATAACGAAAACATTTCCCACATTCAGAACATGAGAAATTTTTTGTTTTTTTATTTAATATATTATTTGTAGACATATAGGATCCTGAGAGATACCTAGATCTTTTAGAGTTAGAAGCCTTGGTTCTTTTATTAAAAAATTTCTTCATGGGCTTGCTTCGTGTATTTCTGTTCCTTTCATGTCCTTCAGGATCATTTCTGCTGATGGAAACACATGAAAGAAATGAATTCTAAGTTAAATAAATTCTAGTGACAGGATTTCTTTATTGTTTATCATACTTATAGAAACTGACAATATTTTTTTATAAAAGATCAGAAATGTGTCAATGAAATATAGTGTTTCAGAAGGTCATTAACAATAATTTGTGTCCTCTAGTCCCCTCACTTATAAAAATTGTGTATACACACTTACATTCATTTGCTTTGCAAAATTTGCTGCAAGGAACACATTCCACATTTTTAACGTCTTTAAACATTTTGAGAATGACAGCCCCCACCTTCTACACAGCAGGGTGAATTAAATATAAATAAAAGTCTTCAAGGTCTACACAAGTACATCACAAACTTGCAAGCAAGTAGTTTCACTCTTTAATAAGAGGAAGAAAACTAATTTGCCAGCTAACAGCCACCAACAGGCTTCTTATATTAAGTTGCAGAGTACAATCACAGTTTTAATGAAGGAAGCTAATTGAAGTTGCACATAGGCTTAACTGCTGATCAAGTTAAAAATGAGCCAAGAGGAATCACTTAGCAATAGTACAAGTTACTTGTTGCTCCCTGGTTCAGTCCAGCTAATGCTAGCAAACAATTTATAGAGCATAATATATGAATGGACACAGATATAAATGCGGGTACAGAAAATGTAATTGGAGAAGTCTTGGAAAGACTGAACAAATTGTATGACCTTCATATGTATGTTACACAATACTGCAAATAGCTTCTAGAGAGTTTTCCATGGAAATACAACGTAATATATAGTATAAATTAACTACTTAAGGAGCCCATGCAGAGCAGGGCTTTAATGCTATTGACAGCATAGCCCTTATAAAGTATCATTCTATACCTAAATGTCTCCAATCACCTGGGTAACAATTAGTGGCCCCAGACTAACAGATTAAATGTACGCGGTGCTCAGAGTGACTACTTCATATGGCTCTTTAAATTGAGCATACGGCTTGTAACAGCACCCAAGGCATAAAAGGCACCAAGGCCGTTTAATAGATCTTCCCTTCCAGAGACACAGGCACAGCTACTGCAGAACACCAAACTCCCGAAGTGAATACAAGGGAATGCTCCAAACTCCTGAACTGGTACCTCACGAATAGCTGCTAGCAGACGAACAGGAAAAACACTCCTGGCAATCAGTCTCTAACAGCATAAAGTAAATCCCCCCAAAGACGAGACAGAGCTCCGTGTTGCGGGTCAAGCAGTGGTCTGGTTTTAATGGGGCTACCTGCCAGGTATTTATGCAGGTCTTCCACCTGGTGGACACTCCCCTAGGGGACCAGATGGAAGACTGGGACACAAATGGTAAAATGACCAATCACAGGCATACAGGGTTAAAACACTCCCACAGTACATTACAACCCCTCCCCTCTATCCTGGAGATAATTGGGAAGTAATCCAATTATCTCCAAGGACAGAGGCAAAACTCCATTAACCACATGGTTACAATAAAACACTAAAATACAATAAAATACATAATGTTACATTTGTCACATAAAATATATACATGTAACCCATCCCCAGATAGCGTGGATCTGAGCGCACAAAAGTACAGAATAGCGCTCAGATCCTATGCACACAGTCCAATCGCCGTGGAGTCACAAAGTCTGTTCTCCATATGAACAGACTCCACGGGATGGCTATCTGGGGTATGGCTTATTAGTGGACACAATACAGAATACAGGGACGTTCGTGAGTTTTTACCGAAGGAGAAGGGAGGTCGGAGGCTTCAGTGGTGTTCGTGACAAATAGTATCCGTTTTGAAATCCAAGAGTTTGGGCGCTGAAACCGCTGGCCGTTCGGGACTTTAAAATGGCCGCCGCCATGTGTTCGGCAAGCAAACAAAGGCCACCCAGCATTCGTCAATTAAGCTGCGGTTAACCGCAGCTTCTGGGAGGTAAAGTGCCGACACACTCCCAATACAGGTGGTCCAGTCATTCGGTTGTTTGTTCGGTAGATTGAATCTACCAAACGCCGGGCAGAAACGCACGAACAAGCCTTTTCTGCAGGGGAAAAGAAGGCTTTTTAACATGGGGCCATAGTCCAAGGGCAACAGGCGAGCAACCAGGCTTCTCCAATGTTTCGCGGCGAGGTTGGTTTCGCCACATGGCTTTTTAAAATTAAAAACACGGCTTGAAATTCTGGTGTGAGCAGGGTTGATGCCTTGCTCATACCCAGAGACTCTGTATCAATTGATACCTAGTGCTCCCCTCTGTCATATTAAGCGGCCCTAGACCAACCGATAAGCTGTGTGAACTTCAAATTGAGCGATGCAGTCAGTCCTTTAAATCCCTTGAATTGTTTTAAATCCTTTGATTCCATAGTTGCAAACTAACCAAGGGAGACCCCCCATGTCTGAAATGACTGTCAGGGTCCTCCAGCATCCCCCCGGCTACTATGACGGGTGCTGTACTTTGTAGTGTGATTAGCAGGAACTGCAAGCCAAAGTTTCAGCAATGTAGGAAAATATGGAGAGCAAAAAAAACAGGTTGCAAGAGTATTCTGAGAACGGACAGCAACTGAAATAGCTTGCCCGTCGGTGGGTCCCCGCTCAGAACTCAAGCTGGTTTTAGCTCATCTTGTTCCATTACAGAGAGAACATATCTGAAGCATATCAGACTGGTCCCACCCATACGGGCAGTCCAGATTCAAAAACTTTAGACTTGTGGAGAGTAAAAAACGGGTCGCAAGAGAATACTTTACTACCGGAGTCCTCGGTAAAACGTTTACCAATTAGATGTGTGGGCTGCAGCCAGCAGGGTTCCATGACAAGGCAGTTACTTCCTGCTCTTTACCGTCACACGCTGGTGAACAGGAGATGGAGGGGGAGGATGCCTGGAGCAGAATCTCATGGACATAGAGTCTCATGGACAGAGATGAAAGAAGGCCTAGAGAAGGAAGATGATTCAGGTTGGAGAAAATCTGATTTGGAGAAGAACAAGGGATAGTTCATAAGAAGGGTAATCTGTAATGAAGGGGTGACATCTTAAGGAACATACAATGGAGGTATTTGTAATAGAGGGGTGGAGAGATGTGTAATAGAGGGACAGAGAGCGGTGTAGTGGAGGGGCAGGGATATGTGTAATGAAGGGACAGAGCTTTGTAATGGACTGTGAAATTTTGACAAAAGGGCAAGAGGTATGATGGTAATGTAAACAGGATATTGAATAGGAGAGCAACTTGTGAAGACAGAACAGAGAGGATGTTTGTAATGGAGGAGCCTGGAAAGGTAGGGAACAGGAAGGGAGCTCTACTATCAGATGGGGGTAAAATAGTTGGAGGAGCTCCTTGTGGAATGTAGTGATGTGTTGCAATGGGTTTACATAACAAGTGAGTGGGTTAGGGTGGAGATGGTTAGTAATAGTAACAGGAGTAATTTTATGGAAATTGCACGTATGGTTTGGAAGTTATGAATATTGTGTAAAACTGTGATAAATAAGTTAACCAATTGTATGTAGTAATTATATCACAGGCAGAGGGGAGGGTTTGTGTGTCCTAGCTGGGAGTGTCTGACTGTATTGTATTGTGTTTGATTGGCTGTTCCACAAGACCATGTGGGTGGTAACCTTGTGTAAAATCCTGCATGAAAGAAAGTCTTTTGGTGCTTATTAAACAGATCATCTTGTACCTTCATGAAGTTTCGGCTCATGTTGGAGGATTGGAGAATTACACTCTGGGGATTGCTGTAATCACTATACTCCCCAAGGTATAATCACTAAGCTCTTTTAAGAGCTTGTTCCTGCTCTCTGGAATTCGGAGAGGTCGATCTACTGGAAGCTGGACCCTGGTCTTGGGTCCAGAGTGGGTGGAGACGGCGAGACCCCAACCAAGATGCGGCGGTTCGTGTGGTCTGCAGTGGTTATGGTGTCAGATGGAGTGCTTGAAGCCCTCGGAAAGCACTAAGAGCATCCGTCAGCAGAAGGTACCCGGTCGGGGTGCCTGCAGTTCCGTTACAGTGTGTATAAGTGTTCAGATAGTGCAGCAAATGTTATGTGAATGACTGGTTGGAGGAGCAGTGACTGGTCTGTGGGTGGTTAGTAGGTTTCTTTGAAAGTTAAGGTAAGAAGAATAATAACCTTAGACGCAAAGCCGAGTGCTTCGGAAGAAACATAATCTGAGAAGAAATTTATAGGTAAAACGGAGATCTGAGAAGGAAATGGAAGAAGAATTGAATTAACAAATATTTAAAAAGATAAGATGAATTGTTTCTGGAGTCTTTATTGGTAAAAGCGGAAACTGCCAAAAATTAACAAACTAATTTCAAATGTTAAAAAAGTCTGAAAAAAATAAATAAATTCACAGTGAAAATCATGCAAGTTGCCTGAAGAGATTGCCATTTTTTTTTTATTTTTTTATTATGTTATTCCAATCTCTTTATTTTGGGAAACAACAAGAATAGGAAGTTTTAAATGGCAGGGAGTATTAGATCAGGGGTGTGGCCAGAGAGGGGCGCTGTGAATATTTTTCGCACAGGTCTAAGGCCGGCATTGAGTGTTCAGGTGGGTAAGTAATTCACTTTTTTAAAACATGTTTAAATGTGCAATTGTTCACTTTTCCTACTGAAAACAGAAATTTTTACTTCCCGTAAATTATTTTTTTCTTAATATGATGGCAGTACCAACAGGTTTTGCTCCCTTCCTGTGGACAAGTATCTAGCAAGATTAATTATAGTCAAGATAAACCCTCCCCCTTGCCCTATAAACGGCAGAACTGCAAACCCTACCCCAGTAAGTAGCAAGAAAAAACACACAGACAAACTTATACTGCAATATCAAACATTTTTAATATAGAGGGAAGGAAGCCGTACTGCCACCATATTAAGAAAA